TGCGTTAGACAGAGGCCTCTAATGCCAGTCAGAACTCACAGATGCAGTATCTGGATCAGCTCCCGCATCAGACAGCAACCTATGCCCTGGGGCAACAGAGTCTTGGCATCCTGAGATGGCGAATGGCCCCATGACTGCCAGAGCCAGATGTGACTCAGCTCAGCATCACCCAGTGGCCTCTCTATGCCCAACAGAACGTTATTCAGCCATAAAAACGAATGCAATACTAGCATTTGCAGCCACACGGTATGGGAACTAGAGTTCATGACATTATATTGTATAAATAGTCTTTAGCATATGTGCAAGTTTTGCTGAACAGTCCATCTAAACTGTAGCAATTGCTAGAGGTCAGGAAGGTGCAGGAGGTCAAACAACAGGTACCAGAGGGTCAGATGGAAGTTCTGGTGTTTTGGCACAGTAGATGACTGTAATTCCCAATAATGAGCTGTATCCTCTGCAGAGGACGGTACAAGGGACATCGGGAGGCTCTAAACACAGACAAAGAGAAAGAAATAGTTCATCGTGTTGCCTGGCTTGACTGGTTTATCTTGGGCACGTGTCATGAAACGCTAAGATGTACCCCCATGAAAATGCACAAATATTACACATTAATTTTAAAACTTTTCAACTAAAGCAAATGTTTAAAAATCGATGTTAATTTTTGATAGTCTCTGGAGAAAAAAGAAAAATAATTAAAGGAGAAGGGCAAAAATTAGGAGAACAAAACAATGGAAAAGTAGGAAATCATACAAGATATCTATAATATAAAAGCTTTTCTTTTCAATTAAAATAGAAAACTCTCTGGCAAGGTTAGAAGAGTAGATGAAGAAATGGACAAATTAGCTGTTTTTGAGGCAAATACTACAAGCAAGAGAAGTAACAGAAGATTTTTAAATCATGAGATACTATTCTATACTCATCATTTATATATGAGGAATCAATGTTTAAAATATACATCAATGATAATCGCAATACATAATACAAAATGCATTTCATAAAAGGAACAAAAAGAAGATTTGAACTAAACTGAGCAGAGTTGTGTATAAAAGCAGGAATCATTATTTTAGGAAAAAGGAATGTCAATAGCCAGAAAACTGAGAAATCCAGATGCTTCCAACCAGCACTGAATTAATGGATTAACTGCTGGATAGCAAGTCAGCGCAGCCTGCTTTCTGCTAAAGGAAATCGACACCACCAGAATTACGACAGAAAGCAACCAGATGAAAACGTGGCCAGTTGATGGGATGAACTAGAAGCCAGCAGCGAAAATTACCGAGCTGCAGTTGCAGTTATGAAGACGGATAATCCTGAAAATGCATTTTGAATGGTAAAGTGTCAAAGAAATATGTGCAGTACAATAGCATATGTAAGCTATTTTTTAAAAAATTCAAAACACTTTGTTTCATAAGCAAATATAGGTAATAACACTAGAAAACATGCACATGAATTTTTAAAAATTCAAGGTCAGAGTGAGCCAAGTGAGGAAACGGGATGCCTTGCGTATCATTTTTTTTTACGTTAAGGCACTTGAAACAAATGTAGCAAAAAGGAAGTTTAATAAAGCTCATGATGCTTCCTAGAAACTTATCTTGTTATCAATAACTTTACATGCATTTGAAATATTTCCTAGCAGAACCTGTTTAGATAACTAAAATCACAGGACAGAGGCTGGCCTACAAGTAGCTGGGAGTGTGGTCCACAGACAGGAAGGGTAGTAAGGGGCGTGCTCCACACCACCAGGCACAGGGCTACAGAGCCCACCCCTGGTGCCCTGCCTGCCACCTGAAGCTATGGAAGAAATATCCAGAGAAATGTTCCATCCATTTGTGTTGAAGCTGGTGGGCAAATGCACATACTCCTGTCTCCTGAGAAGGCTTCAATCATACATTCTGTCAAACGGAAAACTTTCTGCCTCTGGATTGGCGGGGGGGGCGCGGGAGGGGGAAGGGAAGAAGCCATGGTGTTTGAAGTGCAAATTAGACTGAAATGAGTAATTAGAGATCAGAAAATAGCAGCCTCCAAAGACCAGACAGGACTCACAAAGCTGTGAGAATTTAAGCTCTTTCCCTTCCCCAGGTCCCAGGGAGTCAGCCAACCCTGCAGCCACAACCCCAAGGAGGGCTGAAGACAGGAGAGCCCCTGACACTGTGGGCACCGTGTAGGCTAGGTCAGCAGGCTCCCCAATGGGATCCCTGTGGACAAGGCCCCTGTCCCCTCAACAGTGCAAATCTGGGTGACTACCTTCCCAGGTAGTCAGGGTAGCAAGGGCTGTGGCCATCCACTCTTTGTTGGAACTTTCCTATTTCCAGTTCATGTAAGTGGACTTCAAGAAAGAGAGTCTAGCTATATCCACTGTATTGCAAAGCCACCCAACAGCTAGAGGGTGGGCTCAAGTGCACTTACGCTGAGTTCTGTCCAGGATGTGTGATGCCAAATACCAAAAGCACAGCAAAGAAAAGCAAAAACACACAAATGAGATTTCACCAAACTAAAGAGCTCCTGGACAACAAAGGAAACAATCCACAGAATGAAGAGATAACGTCCAGAATGGGAGAATAGGTTTGCATGCTAGACATCTGACAAAGGGTAATTACGTGCCTGGAATTTTTGGGAACTCAAACACATGCATAACATTAACAACCACACAGTTGTTCAAAATGGCAGAAAAATGCAGCAGTATTTCTGAAAGGATGACATATAGATGACCAACAAAGAAAAAGTTTCAAACATCGGTAGTCTTAAGAGAAGCAAAAATAAAAGCACAGCAAGATATCACCTCCTTATGGTTAGAATGGCTGTTACAGTGGTGGGTGCTGCATCACAGAAGGTGAAGCCAAGTTCTGATCCAGCCCCATGCCTGTGTGCTCGGGAAACAGAGGAAAATGGCCCAAGCATTCGAGTGCCTGCCACCTGCATGGGAAACCCAGATGAACTTCTGGGTTCTTGGCTTTGGCCTGGACTAGTGTCAGCTGTTGCAAACATTTGGGTGTGAACCCTCCCTCTCTCTCACTCTGCCTTTCAAATAAAGTAACCCTGATATATATTTTTTTAATTGGCTGTTACCAGAAAGACAGATAACAGCAAGTGTTGGCAAGGTTGTGGAAGAAAGAGAACTCTCTAAAACTGTGTGAATGTAATTTAGTGCAATCATCTTGGGAAATAGTATAGATGTCGCTCATCAAACTAAAAAGAGAATTTGATATGATCCGGCAACACTGCTCTTGTATGCTCAGTGAAATTAAATTACTTTGTCAAAGAGACGTGTATATCATAACTGATGGCAAGCAGATGAAAGCCACTCAAGTGACTGTCTCCTGACTAGCAGATAAAGCATGGTTCAGATCACAATAGGACAGATACTACACAGCCACAGAGGAGGACGAAATGTTGTTTCTTGCAACAACATGAACAAACATGGAAGTCATTATGTTAAGTGCAGCAAGCTGAGCACACAAAGAAAAAGGGCAAGAGCATGCGATGCATGCGTGCAACCTTTCAACAAGATGAGCCTCTGGGAGGTAAGAGCATACAAATGCTGACCCCAGTGCTGGGGAGAAGGTGGCAGGGAGTGCTGTGGCTGCTGGAGTGAGTTCAGAAGGCCAGGATGAGCCTCAAATGTTGAGTTCTTTGGACTGAGAGTTGAAGGAGGCATTAGGGATCCTGCAGCGAGGAGCATGGATCCATCGATGCTGTCCCAGATGGCAAAGCTGGGGAATTCGGAAACAGCACGGGGACAGGGCCACCACTGTTGGCTCAGTAAAGCTCCATGAAGGTCCTTGCAGGCTCTCAAGAAATCCCAGTGAGTTCAGAGCCAAATCTTACTCTGCTCTGGTAAACAAAGCCTCTGAACTTCCGGTTATAACCTTCTAAGCCTATCCCATCCCTGGGCTTTGGATACTGCTGTCTCTGGAAAGTTCCAGGGGAGGGAGGAAGGGGATACCCTCAGGTGGCAGCAGGAGAACTCAGTCACAACCCTAAGGGGGCTCTGAGGCTACCTTACCCTGAACAGGAAGTCAGTCCTGTTCACCATTCTGACAGAGCTAGTGGGTGGGGACAGGTAGACAGGTGCATGCATTAGTTACACAACAGATGTGGACAAGGTTTGGAACACAGCCTTTATTGTATCTGGTGTTTGGCTATCACTTTCTCCTCCTTCCTACCATTGCCGTTTTGCCCACTGCTGCCTCCAGGGTCCAGTCTTCCTCCTGGAGGTGAGGAAACACAAGAGGAAGAGACAAGGAGTGACAGGTGCTCTCTGCTCTCAGAGTCACGCTTCATCTTGATCCTAAAGCCCAGAGCGAGGCACACTGCTGTGGGGTTGCCCTCGTCTCTTGGGACTCTCACAGGTTACCAAACTCCAAAGCTGTGATCCCATTGACATGCCCCCACCCTATGTCCTCTAATCAGGTCAGTCCTGGGCCTTGAGATTATGCTAAGTTCTCTCTGTATGGTTGGGCTGGAGTATTTTCTCTTAGAGTTGAGGACAGTCAATGGAGACCCCTAAAAAATGCCTAAATTATTTAAATAAATGGAGCTGCAGAGCCAGTGGGGGGTACAGTGCCTGCATTCCACAGCCCTGCTCTTAGATTCCTCTGGGTCCTCGGGGTGTAGACTCTGAGAACACTGCAACCTCCAAGCCTTACCTTGGCCAAGAGAAGGCCACACAATCTTCCAGGATCTTCTGGACCAAGAGTTTCAGTTGCTGTGTGAAAACCAAAACCAAGAAGACACTTCTCAATTGTGGGGGGAGAAGCGCCCTGCCTGCCCACTAAACCCCCTGATCTTGTGGCCAGAAATACTAAGTGCTGGATTGACCACTCTTAACACAGGCATGATACCATTGAGTACCTGGGCAAAAAAAAAAGGGGCCACCAGTTATTGCCCCTTCTTGTTGTCCCCTAAGCTGATAAAGCCCCCGACTTCTCCTTAAGGAGGCCTTAACCTGACCTGGGAGGCCTCCAGCCCAAGGCAGGTGCAGCCCTCCACACACACAGCCCCTCTCACTTCCTGTCCTTTGAAGAATGGAACACACAGCCAGGACACTGGCTCCAAGGTCTCCTCAGGCTGACGTCTTCCCCCAGGGGTGGCTCCTCCTCATTCTCCTTGTCCTCTGGATTCTCCTTTTCCTCTTCTTCGTCCTCCTCTTCCGCCTCTTCTTCTTCCTCCTCCTCCTCCTGAGCACTCTCTGATTCCACATGGCCTGCCAGCTGCGTCATGGTGAGGTGGAAAACATGGCAGCTGAAGCCCTCCTTGACACCGGACTGCACGTGCTCCCGGAGGATCTCCATGGTGGCAAAGACCCGGCAGCAGGCCATGCACCTGAAGCCCTTCTCCATGGTCACCAGCCAGTCGGGCGTCTTGGCCCGGGGCCTCTCCTCTGCAGTGGGTGAGCCAAGTGGGCTGTCTGAGTCGGCCCTTTCCTCCTGCTCTTTCTCCTCCCCACTGGGCTCGCTGTCAGACAGGAGATTTCTGCTGGACACATCTGAGGGGGGAGTGCCCACTCGCACATCTTCAGGAAGGGTCATTTCTTCCATCCGCAGCTGCTTCTGCAGGGGCCCGGGGCTATCCACTGTCTCCCAGGACACAGCCACACCTTTCCTCATCTGTACCTGCATGTAGTAAATTTTCATACCCCTCCTCTCCTTGTTTATAAGTTGAGAGGACACACAGGTCTTGTAGGATGAATGGGACAAGGAGATGGGCTGGGCAGGGAGTGGAATCTCCCTCTGTTGCTCCGTCTGGGTCTGGGGCGACCTAGGCCGGGGACTGTCTCGTGGCGCTCTCTGGGTTCCTGGGAAAGGAAATGAGAAGCATCAAGAATTAGTGTGGTGGCTTTAGGAGACTGAGAATGCAAAAGTGGGAGTGTGCTCGGGGCTGTGGGATGAAGCAGTTGTGCGCTGGGCTGTCTGGGTGCTGGGGTGGGTGATGTACCAGCTGTTATCTCTGAGGTGTCTGGATAGGCGTGTGGGGCATATGTGAGGTCTGTGTGGGATGGTAGTGGGTACGTGTCATGAGGATGTACATCCAGGACATCGTCAGTGTGTTGTCTGTGAAAGGTGGGATGCAGTTCAGAGCAGCAGGTGGGCTGTGTGTGTGCGCTGAGAATGTGTGGGGGTAGAGAGGCCACACAGGCCTGCACCAAGAAACGGGCAGGTAAAGCCCACGTCCTACATGGCTCTTCCCTAGGTACCTGGTCTGAACCCTCTGCCCTACAACCAGACCCAGCCCTTTCCAGCTCTTAGCCGCACCCTTACCACCAACAACTGTCTTAGGTTTCTTCTCAGACTCATGCTTGGAGCAGTGCATCTCTCATAGAGCACCCAAGCAGGCCAGAGACCTCTGCATGCAAAGACTCCACTCTCTCCCACACCCACCAAAGATCCCCTCCCAAGCCCCGAATCCAAGGAAACTCCTGCCCAAGGTTTCCTTTATCCAAGAACCCCTTCACCAAGGACTCACACACCCAAGAACCTTCTCCATACCCTCCTAGTCCTGCTCTCACACTGCCCAGCAGCCTTACCAGTGTGGATGAGCTTGTTTGGAGAAGAAACACAGGAGAAGTACTCAGAGGCAGAGGAGAGCTCTCCTGTATCCTGGTTCCAGTTTTTGTCCCCTGCTGTGGGCCTGGGTGGAGGGACATCCTTCTGCGACTTTGAGATCCCTGAGGAAGAGAGGAGAGGCACTGAGGCATGGTGGATTGGTCAAGTTTGGGCATCATTCATACACGCAGCGAGCATTTCCGGAGTATCTGACACCTGCCAGGCAGGGTTGGAGTGGCTCCCAGAAGGTATACTGCAAGATCTTATCCTAGCCCACAGTGGACTGTAGTGCCTACCTAGGAATGAAGGCCTAGGTGGTGACAGAGGATATGTCCAAATAGTGAGATGTGTAGGAGGTAGCCCCTGATGGCCATGAGGTTGATATATTTTGCAGCCATTCAGCAATCGTTAGCAAACAGCTACTCTGGGTCAAGCTTTATTGTACTATATCAGGAATGGGGAATACAGAAGAAAACAAAGACCCTCTTTTTCCTTTTAAAGTTTATTTATCTTTGCTTTTGAACAGCAGAAAGAGATCTTTCATCTCCTGATTCATTTCCCAAATGCCTATAGCAGCTGGGATGGTGCCAAGACAGATCTAATACCAGAGTCTGGTTCTCTCACCTGGGTTGTGTGGACCCAAGAACTTGAGTCCCCATCTGCCACCTTTAGGGTGTCCATTAGCAGGGAGCTGGACAGGAAGTCGAGAAGCTGAGACTTGAACCCAAGCATCCCAGATGACAACTTAACTACGACATCAAATGCCTGTCCCACAAAGACCTTCTTATAATTGGACCTTCCAATCTACCAAGGAAGTATAGCATGAAAGCAAATAGCTATGCCAGGTGTCATTTTCTGATGAGTACAACAGTTACCAGAATTGGCAAACAAAAATACTTGATGCACAGTTAAACATGACTTTCAGATAAATCATAGATTTTTTTTAGTTATTTCCTGTATAATATTCATTATATACTAAAAAGTAATTCGTGGTTTGTCTGAAAAATCAAGTTCACCTGAACACCTTATATTCCAGCTGGAACCGTTAGGAAGGAGGTGGTAGGAATCTGTGTTTTATTGTGGCTTGTGCCAAGGGCGTCTGATATTGCTACAGAGATACAAATAGGGCAAGTTACATGTGAGTGGTTCTCACAAAGTATTTAGGGATAGTTGAAGGGAGCTGTGTCGTGTGAGAACTTACTCTCACGCACTCACAAGAATGTGAGAATTTACTCTCACACACTGCAGTTGTGTGTATGTCATCAAGTTGTGTGCATGAACCCCAGCCTTGCACCCGAGCGGGGAGACTGGGAGAGGCTCACCCTGGACCCTGAGGAAGCTGCCGGCTCCGACTAGGGTGGCAGCCTGCTGCTGGCACTTCGCAGTGACTCCTTCCGCTCCACCTCTCCCTGTGCCCCCTCCTGTCAGGGTAAGTGGCTGCGTTGGCTCCAGCAGTTACCACGCCAGGACGTGTGCTCATGGCTCCCAATGTTCTCCCAGAGCATCCCCCAGACTTTGGAGAGACCATTGGGAAATTCTTCCAGTGAAGGCATCAAATCCTGCTTGTTTCTCTGTGACACCACCCCTAGACAGACTTTCAAATGACTTCCTATGCGTGTTTTATTCCTCAGGACATTTTTCAGCAATGTGTTTACCTTGTAGCACTACCCTTTCCTCTATGAAAAGAAACAGTGCCACCTATAGCCCCATGGCACCATCAGCACCTTCATAGTCCCTCACCCAATGGTGCCAGGGAAATAGCAAATCAAGAGACGTGAGATCAACATGAGAAGAGAAGTATGTATATCTCGCCTCCAGCCTAGGAGCCCGAGATGCCAGCAGCCCAGAGATACAAGCTCCCAAACAAGTGGGCTGCCTTTGGGTCTGCCAGTGGCATCTGGACCTTCTGGGCCATCTCACACCTGCTGTACCCTGGACATGGCAGCCAGGCATCAGAGACAACAGATCTCTTCCCTTCTTACTTCATGGAGCTCCTGCTTCCCAGACCCCTCCCCCAGGACAGGCTGAGGCTGGCCAGCAGCCCGGGCCCCAGACAAGAAGCCCAGCACCCACCTCCTCCCTTCTTGGCAGATTCCCGAGACTCGTCATTTTCCAGGTGTTTCCTCTTCTGCCGCCGTTTCATGATCTAGGTAGCAGAGTACCCCAGAGGATGCTGAGTGCCAGCCCCCTACCCTCTTAGGCTGTCTGGCACTCTGTAAAAAGACTCGGTCCCAACAAAAATACTCGCTTCTCCTCAGTGGCTGAAGAACTCAGACCATGGAGAGAACCAGCAGCACTGCCCAGTACTCCCTTCACGCAGGGCTGTTAAGGTTCAAAGGTCACCGGGCCCCCAGCAGCATTCTCTGTCCTGGGTGATGACATCAGAGCATTCTGCGGACCCAGCTGTGGCACCGTCCCAGAGCCCACCTCCAAAAGGGAAACCCTTTGCCCAGTGGAGTCTCTCTGACAAGTTCAACTCTCCCTTCTTTCAAATGTGACAGAATGTTTTAAGCTGTTTCAGTTGAATGTACATTTTTCCTGTCTCCAAGATTATTTGAAAAAGTTTGTTGAAAAATAGAATTGAACAGTGTTTACTTTGGTGCAAAACTGATGAAATCCAAGCACGGTTTTTTTTTTTTTCATTACACTCATTTTCTGTGAACTTTTTGAAAACTTCTGGAATTCCACTCTTTCCCTTCCACGTTCAGAAAGGGGAGTCAAGTGGGAGAGAGGGGCTTGATAGCAGCGGCATCACACTGACAATCTTCAGTGTTCTGAAACTCCGGCTGCTAGAGAAGAGGCTTTGGGCATAGAGCCTGACAGAGGCACGACACTTAAGAACAGGGGTTCCCTCACCTTCCTGCTGCTTAGGAAGTGGGACTCAGGTCACAGAGAGCCATCCACAGACCATAGAGGGAGGAGTATTGGCAGTAGTTACAGAGCTTAACAAAGCCAAACACACACACAAGAAAAAGAAAAGAAGAGAAAAGAAAAGAAAAAGAAAAGAATACAGATGATTGCACTGCACACACAAGTCAAGCCAGGGCGACCTGTCCCGTCCATCACACAAGAAACACCAGATCTGAAAGAACCATAGAAACTACGCTGCTGGCCGTGTGCTCTCAAAACAACTGGCCGTGCAATCTCACCACCCACAAAATTTGGGCAGCACTGAATTAGACTCAAACTATGGAAATATCCTTAAAGGATAACAGGAAAATCAAGGCTTATCAGGCAAACTCAGTGGAGTCACAGAAAGTTGACATGCTCTGCTTGCACCCCTCTCCCCCTAGACTGAAATGGGTATGTGTTGCCCCATCTGGATCTCCCCAACTCCAGTCTAAAGTTAGAGACATCTCATGTCGAGGAAGCTGCCAGGCCCCAGTGGCAACATCGGTGCACGGATATGATGGAGCAGCCCAGACTTGGAAGGGTACTGCCCAACACACTCCTCAGAGAGCAGGAGAGTGACAGCAGGACTAATGTAGACAGTGAAATTTTCCCCAAAGTACTTAAATCTTTCTGTTGAGTGGAGAATCCCTAAAAAGGAAGGGGCAAAGAGAGGGGAAAAAAACTTTGCATAGTAGAAATTTTCAAATGCAAGTGAATGAGAGAACATTGCAAAATATGCATGCAGCTCTACCTACTTTTGACAATACCAAGATTCTGCCAGTCTTGTTCCTTTCAGTCATGACACATACATTCTGTTAGTTTTTTGTTACTTTCTTTTAGTTTAGGTGATAGGCCAGGGGGTGGGCTGGGAATGTGGAAACAGCATATTTTAAAGCAAATCCCAGACGTTACATCATTTCCCTTAAATGCAACAGTACATAGCTGCAAAAGATAGCTCTTTTTTTAAAATCCTATTAAATAAATTTAAGCATAATTCCCTCAAAGTATTTAATAATCAAGCCAACCCAGTTCCTTCCAGCTCAAAACAACTCTTTATAATTGATTCATGGAAATTAAGATCCACACATTGCAAATAGTCAAAGTGACTCCAAGAATTCTCTGTCACCCTGAGTGGTATTGATCTGTTGAAGGGACTAGGTCATCTATCCTGTAAAAGTGCACAGGCGTAAGTACCAGCTGATTCTACCTTGGCGCTGTCCTTTGAGGTACTCCCCCTGTTGGCTGTTTTCCCTTGTAAGCAATTAGGTAGGTCTAGAAAACCACATCAGTTTAGACTCAGTGTCTCGTGCTTGCAAGATTATTTTACATTTACCGATGGTGCTGAGAGACCAAGGCGGAAGCAGAGGGAACAGTGGGTGTGGTGTGATCATTGAGACAGAGATGAGAGTAGCTGGTGTTACACTGTTGGCTGTGAAAGAAGCAGAGAATGGGTAACTTCTGCACAGACCTTGAAGGATAGAGGCCACAGGACCTGCTGCACTCCCTGTATCTGATACTCTCCAAATGGGCCCATCGTGAACTGGCCCTTGGAGAATGGACTAGAGGACACTCAGAGAGCCTGTGGGTTGGAGTAGGAACCAGGCTACGACAGTTCTGGAGGCCACGGCTCGTCCTCAGAAGCAGGCCGACTCTAAGGTTTTAGCGAATAACAAGGATTCCTTTTGTTTTTCTTTCAAGAATAGGGTTTGATCCACCCAGGAAAAGAATTCTCTGCTCACAATAGAAAGCCGGGGGGTGGAAGGCATCATTAAGAGCCAGGAGGAAAATGGACACTGATGGGACTCAGCAGAGCGCAGTCTATACCAGTGGGCACGCATCTCCGTTCTCACGGCCAACATGTATGACTTGCAAAGAGAATGATAGCAAATATACAATCAGCACTGGGCAGTCATCTTCCATCGACTGCTTACCCCTTCCTTTACCCTCATTTGGTTCCTCTCTCTGGCTTCCCCCATCCCCAATGTCACCATCATAATCTCCTCTGATGTTGGAAGTATCTGAACCAAGTGTCATACATGGGAACTAGGTAGTGATAGCAGTCACAGTCCTGGGAAAACACACCCCAGACTGTGAATGCCCATTACCTGCGATGTAAGGAGACATGGCCCGCAAGCAGGCAGGTGGAGAGGATCATGAAACAGATATTAACTCTTTGTACTTTACATTCCAAATTGACAGAACTTTTAGGGGAAAAAAGCAGGGGGCGGGGCGTGGGGAGAAGATACTTGAACTTGAACTTAAAAACATAAATCCATAGCAGCAAAAATAGATAAACTGCACTTTGTGCAAATTAGAACCATTGGCTTTGGGAAAAAAAAAACTTGAAAGGAGAATGAAAAGACAAGCTACAGACCTGATAAGATATTTACAGATCACATATCCAACGAGGGACTAAAACTCTGAAAACTCAATAATAAAATTATTCAGTAACCTAACTAATAATAGACAAAAGGTATGAAGAGCCATCCTGCAGGTGAGGAGATGTGTTCACAAATTAAAGCGCAAGTTAAAATCACCATTAAATGATCAGCATACACCTATAAGGATGGCTGAAACTAAAAGTAGAGACAGCATAAAACATGGATGAGGTTTAAATAATACAAACCAAAAAACCAAACATGCAGCTACCAGGGACCCAGAAATTGCAGTCTTGGACATTTATCTGAAAGAAATGAAGCAACTGCAACTACACACATATGCTGCACATGAATGCTTACAGTTTGCTCATGGTACACAAAACCTAGAAACAACTCCTCCAATGGACTGGTGATTCAAGAAGCCGTGTACATCCATAGCGTGGAATTCCACTAGGCAATGAAAAGGCTCAAACTTGGATGACTTTCCAGAGGGGTATGCTGATAGAAGAAAACTCAGTGTGTCTGTCCCTGACCGGAACATCTGGGTAGTGAATCAGCAGACAGAAAATTCTCTCTCTCTCTCCACCGTCTCTCTCCTTCTCTCTAAGTGCCTTTTAAGGAAATAAGTTTTAAAAATAAGAAAAAGTCATTCCGAAAAGATTTATGGTGTCTTATTTCCCTTGAAAACATTTTTGAGGTGACAAAATTAGAGAAGGAAAGGGTTGATTGACGGTTGTCAGTGGTTCAGCAATGTGTGGGGGAGAGGAGGGCAGCTGTGTCGTGACAGGGCGACGTGAGATGCTTCAAGGAGATGGGGCACTTCTGGACCATGCTGGTATCCATGCTAACATCCTCTCTCTGATGGTGTCATTTGGGGTCATACGGGGTTCTGTTCCCATTGGACCAAAGTGGGTAAAGGTTACATGGGATCTCCCTGAATGATTTTTTTGGAACTGCATATGAACCTAAAATATAAAAATTGAAAGTTAACTTCAACCAACATCGATAATAACCAGGAACATTTATTTAAGGATGGAATTGGATGGCTATGGAATTCAGGTAAAGAGTTCTCTTCCTTACCCTCCAAGGTAACTTTTGTTTTTTTTTTACCTGTGCAGGACTGATTAAACCTGTCCCCGCCCCTCATCATAAAAGGGCAAGGCAGTCAACCCTGGGGAATACACTCACACACTGCACTTGCTGTGCAAATGCAATCTGAGTCCTCTTAGATTACAGTGGGCCCTGAGGATCTGTAAACCTTCAGGCTCTGCAGCATCGCTGCCAAGAGGTGGCCCAGCCCATGCTTCAATATTCTCAATGATAGCAAATGAACTCCTCCAAGCTGATTTGACCTCTTTCTGTCTACAAAAATCTTAATTTAAGGGGAAGTAAAAGGATCTCCCAAAGCCATGGGATTTTCCTCTTTGGAACCTAATATCAATCAAGAATAGGTTTGTTTACTGAAGCTAACTTCCCATTCCCCAAATCCTTGTGGCTTAAAACAACAAGGATTTCCTGCTCCTAGCATGAGCTCCTTGTGGGTTGGCTGAGTCCTGCTGCTTGTCATCCTCACTTCTGGGCCAGGCTCACAAAGCCAACACTACCTGGAAACTTGTCAGGCTTTATTTCCGAGGAAAGAAAAACTCAGTTCATTCGTACCCTGGCACTCCATGTGCTGGCCCAGAGTCACACATCATTTCCCCTAAAACAGCATTGTCTGAGAAATAGAATCTGTCAGGCTAAGCTGTGCAATGCTGGTGCTGGCACCCAGATCCTTTACAATGGATTCAGAGCCATTTCCATCTGGTTATGTTAGAATTTCCACACAAAGACAATTGTGTAACTCAGCTTTCTGTTTTCTTTCTTTTCTTTC